TTATATTAGAAACTTACTTATTACTTATTCTCTTTCTTCTTCTTCTCTATCTTCAAGTTCTTTTATTTCTTGCTCATATAAATCTGTAGAATAAGAAGTATTATAATCGTTCTTAATAAGAGCTTTTAAAATATCTTAAACTACTAGATTTAATACGTAAGCTATATAAGGGATATCTCCTTGAAATTTAATGCCTTCCTTATTATAATGCTTTATAAAAGCCTTTAATAAGGTATTATTTGAGCTAGTATTATCTCGAGTAATACTAAAAAAAAAATATTAGTAATTATATAATTAAATTTAAATTAAATAACTTACCTAGTAATATTATATTTGATATTATATTGTTTTAAAGCTTCTAATAAGACAGAAAGCATATAAACACCGGAATATATATTATTTAAGTCTTTTATAGCTAATAAATAAGATTTTAATTTAAAATCCTTATTTATAAAGTATCTATAGTATATTAGTATATATTTTACTTAATAATTATTAGAATATATGAACTTATATAGTAATTCCAAGGAAGGCCTTTTGATTTATACCTGTCCAAGCGTCTAAAGTAATAGAGAAGGTTCCTTGAGAATTAATATTCTCTTTTAACTTTTCTTTAATATTTAAACTCTTTTTAATATAGTATAACTTGAGCTTATCTGTAAGAGCCTTCGAGTATATAGCAGGTACTTGACTATTAAATATTAGTATATATATAAATAAAGGATAAGGTAATAAACGCTTACTAATTCAAATAAGATATTAGCTTTTTAAAGCTTGGAGTAATAATAGCCCGAAAAGAGATATTATTATTAATAATAAAATTTAATAATAATCTCTTAAAGTAATTAATAGTAAAGCTTTCTTCTCGTTGTCCAGATTGCTTATTAAAAAGGCTAGTTATAGTTGTTTATAAGACTTGACTAGAAGCTTCACTTTCACCTATTAAATATATTAGTAAATGTTTCTTTTAATTAATAATAAAATAACTTACTATTATTATTACTATCTTTAAGACTCTTAAGGTCTATAAATCTATGGGCGTACCGAAAATGAGAGTAATAATTACTCGTAGGAGCGTATATTCGTTAATTAAGCCACGTTTTACTATTAAATTAATTAGTAAAAAATCTACTAAAAATTAATATATTAACTTATGAATACCCTCTAACCATATACTTAATAGTATACGTACGGAGGTCCTCGATATTCTCTTGTATAGGATTAAGAGTCTTCTTTAAGTAGCCTTTCTTAAAAAGAGAAGCTTGCTTATTAAGTGGTCTTACTTCGAAATCGGGGTGATTTTGACTTATATTAAGCTTGATTGAGGAGTCTTGAGACATTTTCGAGTATATTGAGTATATGTAAGGATATGTGTAGTATAAAGTAATATAATAAGAGTAATGGTTGGTTTTTTGTAATTGATTAAAGTATAAGAAAGAAGTGAAATCGAGGAAAACGACGTATTCTTATAGAAAGTTCTAATATTCTAAAGTCTGCTTTATGATTCTTCTAATTACAAAGATTTGCTTTAGTTCGAAGATTCTAGTCTTTTGATTCCTAATTTTTAGCTCTTATATTAGTAATTTAATATAATTATAATTCACGGAGGTTCTGGAAGTATTATTGAGGTTCGATTCGCTTACCAAGCGCTATTACTACCTGATTGGCTAGCGAGGTGGCGCTAGGTGCGGGACCACCCGAAGCTTTACCTAATTAAGCTAGCCTATTACGTGCACAGATCACGTGCGTTATTCAAGTTATTCATGAATATTCATAAATAACTTGAATAATATATGAATAAAATATAAATAACGAGCTTTTTACTTGAATAAAATAGAATAACAGCCATTATTCTATTTTACTCTATTTATTTGATATACTGTTTTTAGAGTATTTATATTAATTTTGAGTTCCAAATTAGCTAGCTATTCCTTAATATCTTTTTTTAGAATAGTATTATAATAGCTTTTCCGGTAATATAGGTTTGTAATATTAAAGTCTAGCTTTTTTATTTTATTATACTAGGGCCTCTTATCTAATATACTTATAATAATAGTACTTGGTCCCGGGCCGTCTATAGTAGCTTTAGAAGAGATATTAGCTATAAAAGTAAGTATTAAATAAGTTCTTCTTATTTAATATTAGTAAACTATAACTAATTATTATCTTATCTAGTTTTAAGTTAATAAACTAAAACTAACTATTATCTTTTCTTGTTTTAAATTAGTAAACTACTACTAATTCTTCCTATATTAGGAAAGGGAACCGGTTCTTTTACTCTTATTAGTATTAAGGGAATATTGTCTGCTCTAGTTAAGGATCAGGCTCTGAGATTAACCGGGTTATAGAGAATAATATCTTTCTTCTTTTATATTAGTAGAAAACTAATTACTAGAAGGGGAATATCGTCTGTTCTAGTTAAGAGTCAGGCTCCGAGATTAACTAGGTTATAGAGGATATTATATTTCTAGTTAAGCTCTCTAGTTCTTTATAGTTCGAGGAGATTATTAAATATTAAAAGCGGTATTCTGTTTTTGCTTTCTAAGAATAAATACGGGTTCTTTACTAGTAGTATTATATTACTTCTATAGGCTAAGTCGAGTGAGCTTAGTATTATATAACGGCGGGATTAATATAATAGTTAAAGGCTTAAAGTTTAAAGAATCTCATATATTAGAAAATACTAAGCTATAGAATAAAGTAAAGAAAATACCTTAACCTTTAGTATTATTCCGTTCAAGTAATTCCGGCTTAGCTTCATTTTGTACCTATTTCCGATATCCTGTCCTTAGTAGATTATGCCCTTATACTAGCTATTATATAGGCTATATAATTTAATTTATATTAGATTAAATCTAATAATAATATATATTATAATAAGTTATATTATATTTTCTTTTATTTATTTTTTTATTTAATTCTATAAATTATAAGTTATATTATTTTTTTTTAAATATTTTATAATATAAGATCTTTTTATAATTATTATATTAGTTTTTTATTACTTAAATAAAAGTTATATAATTTTCTTTTTACTTTAAATATTTCTTATTATTACTATTATTACTACTTTTATAATTATTATATTAGCCTCTTATTACTCGAATAATAGCTATATAATCTTTTAATTAAATAAACTTACTATTGCCTTTATTATTGCTTTTATAATTATTATATTAGCTCTTTATTATTCAAATAGCAGCTATATAACTTTCTTTCTACTCTAAATATTCCTAGCTATTACTATTACTATTGCTTTTATAATTACTATATTAGTTCCTTATTATTATTCGAGTAATAGCTATATTATCTCTTAATTAAATAAACTCGCTATTATCTTTATTACTGCTTTTATAATTATTATATTAGCCCCTTACTACTCGAGTAGTAATTACATAACCTCCTTCCCACTTCCTTTATTTCCCGCCGCTACTATTATTACCGCTTTTATAATTACCACATTAGCCCCTTACTATTTAAATAAAAGCTATATAACCGCCTTCTTACTCTTCTAATTCCCCGCCGCTACCTTTACTACCGCTTCCGTACTTACTACGTCGGCCCCTCGCTACTCGAGCAGCAGCTATATAACCTTCTTCCTACTCCGAATATTCCCCGCCGCTACTATTACCACCGCTTCTATAATCACCACGTTGTTTTAAATAAACTCCGACATGACTTTGCAACTGCTATAAGTCGCAGCAACCTCCAAAGCTTTCCTACCTCTTTTATTTCTTACATCCCCTCGAAAATCCGCTCGAATACTTGCGATTTCCTGAAAACCGAAGCAAGACGCAACGAAAAGACCCATATCCTGATCAGCCTTTGTGTCCTGTAAGTTCTCTCGTGGTTCATTTCCAATAGAGTAATCATAAAAATACTTTTCAACCTGCGCAGCCCACTCCACAACCGCTGACTGCGTAACTGACTCGTTGGAGAGAAAATAATAGAGCAGTTCCTTAAGTACACCATTAGTCCTTTCAGCAGCAGCTAATTGACAGTGCGAGGCCCAATAGACAGTCGAGTATGGGCTGAATTCACTTGAGCCAAAGGACTCTAGTAAATCGCTTAATAGATTAGCAAGGAATCTTCTTGTCGCGACGCTATCCGCAGCACCCAGAACATGCAACAGGCAACTATCAGCAGCTAGGCTGTTTGTAGCTGCCGTGGTATACTCTGGTCGCTTCTCCAGGAATTCCCTGACTGATAAATGGGCAAATCGAAAGACGTCGAGCGTGCGGTCATAGATAACGAGGTTTGAGCACAAGTGTAAAACTTGTTCTATAGTCAGCTTGCTGACCTTTCCTCGTGGGGTATTTGATAATGCAGCGAGGAACTCGTTAGATGTCAGGGTCCGCTGGGCACAAAGGAGCCAATTGAAAGCACCGGTAGCGATTTTGCGATCAGCTTTTGCCGCCGTTGCAGTCAGTCGTTCATACAGCTCAAGATATAGCTCCTCCAATTTAGGCGGCAGTCGTCCGAGGCGTTCCCGAATTGCTTCATCGGTCTGAAGACTGCATAAGCTCTGCAATTGCAAGCTGGCCCACCGGAACCTAGTCGTCCTATTAGTAAGTTACAATCATGGCCCGCATTACCAACGGTACTCACATGCCATCGGCGTCCTTTGTGGCTTTCTTAATAAACTCGGTCTGCAGACTCTCTCTTTCGGCGCTCCAACGCAGAAGCTTTCCCTTCTGAACAAGGGACACAGTTTCTTTACGGACTTGAGGTCATCCGGGTTGAGGGCGGGAAGAAGCTTGAATTGGCATGCGCTGAGACGTAGGTGGTCAGGCTGATAGTAGGACTGGGTAGAGGCCGTACTACTTTCTCCGCACGATGTATGGATATGATATAGAACCTTTGGAGCTAATCGCAAGCCGCGGTGCCCAAATTGATATTATCGAGCATTTTGTAATGTTCTTTCTCTACATTTCAAGACTATTTAAACAAGATAGAAACGATTCCTTCCTCTTACGTGCAAAAGCAATCATTGATTAGCTCTAGTTCGCTTCCGGTTTCTGGGCGGACCAAGAATTCTGGCGCGATCCTGCACGTCTAAAGAAGGGAGGAATAACTGGAGAGGAATCAAAACTATTGAGAAAGTACCCATGGTTCTGTTTTGCCTCTTGAACAATTTGCCCTAGTGTGTTGTGTAGTGTTTCAGCTTTTGCTCGTAGTGACACTTCGACCTGAAGGAGATCTTTATCAATAACCTTGATAAGATCTCCTATCGCTGTGCCACTTTTGCAAAGTGGATCAAGCTTCAGTATGCTCATTGCCTCAGAGACCTTAGGGTGTATTTCGGCAGAGCCCTCGGAGTTGTGCTGATAGAAACTGCCATTCGCAACCTTTGAGTCCGTTGATGCCCTAGACTCCTGGAACTTCTCCACAGCTTCAACGCCGTACAGGAGCCAGACAGCAAACTCCAAGAATATGCATCCAATCGACCACATGTCGTAGACTCGTGACCTTGCGTCCGTAATGTGGGGCTGGGCTTCGGGTGCTTCATAAGGGGGTGTAGTCGCCCTTGTCTCCGTACCCTCGTATCTCAAGCTCGTCGCTACTCTGTGGAACTTGGACACGCCGACGTCTGCAATCACCAAACGGCTTTTTTTGTTCTTATAGTGAAGAATGTTCTCGGGTTTGAGGTCGCCATGACGACAATTCTCTCTGTGCAGAGCTTTGAGTGCACCGACAAGGTTGTGCATTTCACACAAAGACCATAACATCAGCTCTTCATTTCGCCGTTTGTCCTCACTCTCCCAGAACTGTATAAGATTGCCGCCTTGAGCCCATGGAAAAATGACATAATATTGTTGTCCGCGCTGGCACGTTGCGATCAGTTCGATAATATGCTGGTTATGAAGCTGCTGGATCTTTTGTAGATTCTCCTTCTCTTGAAAAAAGCTTTTTTCGTTTCTGAAGTCCTTGACAGCGACGTGAACCTCGGCAACGTCTCCCTGTTCAATAATGAGCGGTGGACCAATATATATGAGGGCAAAGTTGGAGCAACAAGCAGTACTAACCGTGAGGCCTTGTTGATGACCCATTGCAAGTGTGGCTTTGTAGACAACGCTGTTTTCGTTTCCAGCTATTGAACTGCAATGTAGAAACGGCAAGGCACATTTTATATGAAGAACAATGTGCTTGCCACTTGTGTCCAACACTGGTGCTTGAACTAGCCATTGCCTGTCGATGAAGTCTTGGACTCTTACTTCATTATTCCAAGTAGCAAATGACTTAAATTGTTGACCATCAGTAGATACCAAGACGTTGTATTCTTTGCCCTGCTGGTGAGAAAGAGGAAGATGTTTGTCTCTGAGTCCTTCCGAAAGCAGATCGTTAATGCGACCCGGCTCACCTATGAGCACAAGGATCGCAAAAATCTTCTTTGCGTGCCTCGTTACTTCATCGAGTAAGGGAAATACATCTGAACATGTGACAATTGGTCGAATGCTATCTGCAATGATTTTCTCGTCCAATGCGCTCAGCGGGAGAAACTCTTGGTTGCCAATAGGGCAGTTTACCATGCTCTCGCGAATTTGGGCAAACAGGGACGTCATTGCGACTCGGTACCGGTATGTTGATGCGGCTCTCGGGAATTGTTGGCACGAGAAGTATGGTATGAATAGTATTCGCAAGATCAAGTATGGATTTCCACCTCGCGCGACTTTGTTCTGGCTTAGTGGGGCCAATGCTGTCCGATGCGGCTCGAGGACACCATCCGACGTAGGTCGAAGGGTGTCAAGTGCCAATAGGAAGGTTCGAATTATTAGCGGTGGAGAGCCTGACCATAGGCCAGCCTTGTATGACCTGAGCTACCAGCGTCAACAGGAACGATTGCCTCCACTGCATGGTCATATGGTCAGCTCAAGTCGATATTTCATGCATCACGCTCGAAATAGTCAGAGATTGGAATGGAGAATTCCGTGGATTCATCTCAGTGGGTGACTCCTGGGCCGAGTTCCCCGCGAGGCCTCCAACGACAGAGCGCATGAGACCGCGCAAACTTGACCATTGGTCCCCAACGCCGGGCAACGTACTGTGTTGCAGATGCAAGATGCAAGCAAGGTCTGTGAAAATGCGGCCATGGTCTGAAGAGACCATGGCGCTCAAGCCATGCTCCGTGCTGGAGCCGCCCCCTTTCATCTGTTTCCATTCTTAATGGTTGTAGTGGCTGACAATGCATAGTGGGGTTGTTCTTGCAGAGTACTCAAGCTCAACCTACCAATCAACAATAGTGACAGTGGAGTATGGCTTGCATCTATTCACCCTAGCAATTGCGTGCGCACAATGTGTGTATGTGCTAGTGGATGTGTAGTTGTGATGTGCAGTTGCGAGACCAAGCAGGACGTAGTTGAACTCGGATTGTGCTCATAAAGGCCTCAAATTTGCTTATCTGCACTCCGTACACCTAGGACTCATAGCATCTGAAGTCTTTTGCACACTCGCTCCTTTGGTACAGAGGTTAGGCAACCTGCTTCGCTGACTGCCTTCAAGCAACGACTACTTCTGCTGTTACAATCTAGCTTCAGCTACCTGCAACGTTCGATCTCTTCACTTAAACCTCCGCTTGTCAATCAAAATGTCACCGGTGATTGGCCGCAAGCAGAGAGGCCTTATGAACAGAATTTCGGCTTTGAGAGTAGAGCCTGAGGGGTCTGTTGGAGGGTTTGTACCTCGAGACGAGCTTGATCTCCTGCTCGAGAACGACGGCGGGTCTGTTGTGCGCTCGGTACTGGACGAAGAACGACACCGAGAGGGGCTTGATCCATGCAACGATGTTATGGTAAAGTACGTGTTGAACAACGCGAAGGTATTGTTCTGCATGATAGTTCGATACGGAGATATCGCCACGGCTGCCAAACTGATAGACTACGATCTGACGGATGACTATCTTCCCGTCCAATTTGAAAAAGGGCAACACCGAGTTCGGTCCCTCCGCGGTGCCCCCAGGGATGACGGAGCTTTGGAATGGTTCACCGCTGAAGTACAAGGCCTTGATGACGACGAGTACGACACATGGAAGTATACGTTTCGGGATAATCAATGGATGTTCCTCGCGCCCGTTTTTCGCAGCTGCGAGATCGTCTACCCTTTGCATAAGTCTTGTCCTCTGCCCTTCACTGCGCGCAGACCGATTGACTCATCTGGAGCCACATGTAACCTAGCTGAAGCCGACATTCACAGCGGGCATTGCAAAGTACAGATCCACGGTCAGACGGTCGCCGTCAAGAGTATTGTGACAAATGATAAATTGACGGACAAAATCGTGCAGGCGGAGGTGGCAGCACTGGGTCTAGTCAGGAGATTTCAACACGAGCATTTGATCAAATTCATCGCCACTTACAGTCAACTGGGGTACCATCACCTTATCTTCGAGTGGGCAAATGGCGGAAACTTAAGAGAACTTTGGCGCAAGAAGAAGCCCTCTATCCCAAACCATACATATGTGATCAGGTGGGCAGTCGAGCAAATAGCTGGCCTCGCCGAGGCACTCTGCACGTTGCACAACCCCAAGGGCGTGAAAGATCTCAATTGTCGCCATGGAGACTTGAAGCCAGAGAACATAGTGCACTCGACGAAAACCAACGATCCGAAGGAGTTTAGCATCCTTCAAATTACTGACATGGGACTCGCCAAGGTCAACGATCAGAAAACCATGCTTCGACAAACGTCGGGGACCGTGGCGTCCACGATAAGATATCAGCCCCCAGAGTTCAACTTTCGTGAATCCTCCCAAATAGTGCAAACACCAACATCAAGAAGCTTCGATGTATGGTCAATGGGTTGTATCATATTGGAGTTTGTTGTCTGGTTACTTTACGGAAATGAAGAGCTTCACAACTTCGAGGAGGATAGTAAGGAAAGATTCTTTGCAAACGACCGCAAGGTCATCCAGTTGGAGCCTATTCTTCAGGACTGGGTGAAGGATATGGGAAACAATGCTTTTGGTGAGCCTCCGAGCTCAGACGAAGCCGCGAAGCCTGAGAAAGATCCGATGTGCATAAGCCCAGCACTGAGAGATATCTTAAGATTTGTGACAGCGCGGTTACTGGTTGCCAATACACCTCCGCCAACCGAAAACCTAGACTTTCCATCTGTCAACCTTCAACGAGTTGCGACTGATGATAAAGCGTGGCTCGAAAACAAAAAAGTAACAGTCAATCGAGCTAGCTCGACCGAACTTCTGGACGAGATGCAGTCAATATTGAATCACAAAGATTCCACATATTTCTTCGCAGCAAATCTTTCCAACGAGGACGTCAAGCGGTGTTTGAAGGCTCCTTCATTGAGCAATAATTCCCTACAAATCCCCTCACCGGAAGCAAACCGTGTGAGAGGTCAAGTTCGGGGTAAAGACCGGAAAAACACCGTGAGTCGCCCCTGCAAAAAGAACCCTCCATCACCCAACGATTCTAAGCTGATAAACGCGTTCTGGTCACGCAAAACAGTATGCTCTCGAGCCAATGCCTGACTTTTGGGCTTTTTATCCAAACAATGAACTGGCATTCAATGTCTTTCCTGAGATTCAAAAAACTGATGTTGTGCCTCATGACGTCGGTCTCCCACTGTGTAAGGAATGCTCCAGTACAGACTCGGGCATCTTTACATATCAGTTCATTTTCATGAAGAAATTGAATTCGCCCTCATGTGTAAGGAGCAGCAACTGCGGAATTTGCAAGATGTTGCTGGATGACCCACGAGCGGCTAAGGCTGGCTTCGATAGTGATCTTGAAGTCAGATATGTTAGAAGAGGTTCGTATCTGGCGAAAGATGGCAGCAGCCCTCCAGCATTCTCCTTGATTGTTGGTCCAGGCATTTCTGCAGCGCCCAACGACCTCCAGAGAAGTTTCCCGAGGGTGCCAGATCCCGGAAGCGAGGCAGAGTTTGCTCTCATGAAGATGTGGCTCGCAGACTGCGACCAGAACCATAAATGTTCAGCGAAGAAATTAGCTCAGAGAATTCTACTTCCGACGAGACTACTCTTTATTGGCGACGATAGTAATCTGTCCGTGAAGTTGGTCTCGAAGGCTCAAGATTGCGATCTAGACTACGTTGCACTTTCGTACCGGTGGAAATACTTGGGCGACGAGAAACCCCTTCTTCTTACTGACAAGAACAAGGAAGAATTCGAAAGGGCAATTGAGCTCAATAAGATGCCCCAGACATTTCAAGATGCTGTGAAGGTTACAAGAGGACTTGGCGTCCAGTATCTCTGGATCGATTCTTTATGCATCATCCAGGGCAACAAAGATGACTGGAATAAGGAATCTCAACGCATGAAAGATGTGTACAATGGTGCATATTGTACAATCTCGGCCACGTGTGCTCAAAGTACTCATGGAGGATTTCTCCAAAAGCGGCCAGAGAGGCGGTTTATAGGAGTTGATACTATCACACCAAATGGCAAGGAAGCTCGAATCTATATCTGCGAGGCTATCGACAACTTCGAGGAGGAAGTAGAGAAAGCCAAGTTACACAAAAGGGGCTGGATCTTCCAGGAAAGAGCGTTGTCGCGGAGGACTCTGCACTTTGCCAAGAACCAGGCGTATCTTGAATGTGGCGATGGCATCTGCAGTGAAACAATGACCAAGCTGTTCAAGTAGGTCTACTTTCCGTAGCGAGGCATTAGAACTGATCCCTTGTTAGGCGAGAGTCTTTCTTCTTCTCAGACGCGAACTTCCCCGAGCAAGCCTTAGAGTTCCATAAAGGCATGAAGATCAAATACTACGAGACCATTTGCCAGAAGTACTCGAAGCTGAACTTTTCAAACCCTGAAGATCGAGCCGTCGCAATGGAGGGACTAGAAAGCAAAATTTTGGAAGCTTACCAATCGGGCGGCCAATTTGGACTTTTGCACAACCACTTTGAGCGGAGCATCATGTGGCAGAGGCCTGGGAAGGACCCTATGAAGCTAATTGAACATTCCAATATGGAGAAGATTCCGTCCCTGTCGTGGATGAAAGTCAAGGGAGCTATCAAATATCTTCTGCCTATTGACGCCGAAAGAGATGACGTGCCTGCAGAGATTGAATCACCATGGGATAAAAATGATCAGGGTATTATGCGCAACACAGACTGGCATGTAAACGCCAAAGTGAGAGACATAAGCAGTAAGGAGCTCGACTCGGCGAAGAATCACTTCTACTTGGATCGTCCAGAACCACCCCTCGGGGATATTCCAGGGCTCAAATACGTCTTCATCGCTTCACAGACATCGTCCAGCTCTCCGAGCTCCCTAGTCTCAAAGACTTCCTATGTTCTCCTAGTTGCACCCAAGAGCCCAGACGATTCTAAATGCACCGAGTATGAACGGGTCGGAGTGGCGATGCTCTCAGGAAGCGACATGTCACCGAAAGGAGAAGGACATCTGGTGACCATTGTCTAGCTCGGAGATGTTTTGAAGAGTGAAAATCCTCGATGTGGAAAATTTCTTACTCAATTTGCAAGCAAATTTGGGGTAGCGTGGCGAAGTGTCCCTTAACGCTGTCGTGAGTTTCGTTTAAATTCTATCTTTTAATGGAGCAGGAGTACTGCCAAGAGAACTGGTAATGAGGACATGTCTCTCCTAGTAATTTACTATGCAAGCATCATCTCCGCTATCAGATGACCTACATTGCTCCGTTAACCAAGATCCAGTGCCGGTGATCTTTTGAAAGAATATGAGATCCAGATTAATACTGAAAAGCGGATAGAGGTTTGTCTATATACATAATAGGAATTGCAGTTATTATAATCCTGAGTAAACTGCTACTATTAATAAAATATATATTTATAAGAATAGGGAAGTTTGTTATTGCGCCCCCTTTTAGTCGTATACTGAAGCGGACTGGGGCCCGAGAGGCGTGAACCCGTGTTCTTTAATAGAAGGGCAAATATCGTGTTAGAGTTAGGATTTTTGACAAGTTTTTGATAAGAAAGGCCCATACAGAGAATTTTAGCTAATAAGTTTAGAGATAGTTATTATAATTTAAGCGAGTTTATTCTATTAAAATTCCTTGCCCCTTGTATTTACCTTTCCCCTACCTTTATTATTTCTTTAATTAATTTTATTATTTCTTTAATTAATTTATTATTTCTTTTTATTATTTCTTTAATTAATTTTATTATTTCTTTAATTAATTATAATTAAGATTCTAATTAAATAAAATAGAATTTAAATATATATTAAATATTCATTTTTAGTAATAAGCCTGGCCTAAGTTTAAGTTATTATTTACTTATTTTAATTTTTAAATATTATATAATAATCTGCTAGTTATAAACTTTTAGAGCTTTACTTATTCTATAAATTAATATCTTGCTCTTATAAGAATATAAATAAGATATAGGCTATATTCTTTCTTATTATAGTTTATTCTGCCCTCAAAATATATTCTTATAAAAAGAAGTCTAAGAAAGTCTTTTTCTTAAGCCTAAATAAATACTTTCTTATAATATTTACTCTAAATAACTTATAGCTTTATAAGTTATTTAGGGCAAGTAAATATTATAAAAAGGCATTTATTTAGACTTCTAATTTTATAGCTAATTAGAATTATAGATATAAAACTAACTAATAAATCTTAGCTATATTATTAAATGTTTTATTAATAGCTTATTAATAAACTTAATTAATAAAAAGATTATTAGTATTCTTATTAGAGTTCTTATTAATAATCCTAATTAATAAAATTATTATTAGTATATTATTAAAGTTCTTATTAATAATTCTGGCTAATTATTAATTTTATTAGTTCTTATTAAAATGAATTTTTATCTAGTAACTAATATATGAGATTTATTATTAGAGTACCTAAAGCTATAAATATTATATTATAGAATTAGTAATACTAGAATTATATTTAAGTATTATAAATAATAATATCTAGAATACTTATAAAATAGATCTTTATTAATATTTATAAATAAGTATTTAGTTTTATTTTATTTATAATTATTATCTAGAAAAGTAAATAATTATAAGCCTATAATCCTATTATATAAAATACTTTAGATAAAAACTCTTATTAATATTTATTAGTAAGAACCTAGCTTTATTTATATTATAAGACTTTTTTAGAGAAATAATTAGTAATAAATTAGGCCAAAATACTTTAAATTATTTATATATATATTACTAAACTAGAAATAGATATAATAATAGTAATTTCTAAATAATAGTTTTCTATTTATTTAAATATATTATTAATTCTCTAAAATAAAGTATTATTTATAATTATCTAATATATTACTTAAAAAAATTATATTCCTAAATAAATAAAATAAGCTTAATAAATAAAAATAATATATAGCTAATATATATTATTTTAAAGTATTCTAGTAAGGTAAATAAAAATAAATCTATTTCTTAGAATATTATTATTAGATTATAACTAATTTTTATTTAGGTATTATAAGCCAGAAACCTAAGTCTTCTAGCTATAATAAATTTATATATAATTATAAATCTTATTTACTAAAGAAAATACTAGCTAAACTAATATTAAGACTCATTATATATAAATCTTTTATTATAATAAATATAAGATTTCTTTTTCTAAAAATAAATTAAACTATAAATAATTACTTATTCTTAAATATAATAACTAATTCAAACTTTCCTATATTTAATAAAATAATAAAATATTTATATATAAATATATATAAACTTAAGGCCAGATTACTTTTCTAGTCTAAAGCTTAATTATATTTTAGAATAATATATTAATTCTACTATTTTATTAATTAAAAAAGTACTAGCCTTAATAAAAAATAAAAATATAATAGCTTATTAAGGCCTCATAATTATAAATACTAGAATTATAAACTAATTTAAGTTATTAGTTATTTTAGATATAAATAACTAAAAGTATTTGAACTTATATTAATAAATAACTTATATTACTTATATATTTGCTTTTAGAAGCTATTATAAAATAAATAATATAACTAGAAATATAGTATTACTTTTAATTAAAGAAATTAAGAAAAAATAATAATATATAAATTCTAGTATAAATAATTATTCTTATAGCTTATATTTTACCTAATACTATATATATATATGTTTTTAAAAGACTTCCCGAGATTGAGAATACTAATAGAAATATATTATTATATTTAATTAAAGAAAACCTTTATTTTTTATTTTTATTAAATTTTATAAAAAATAGAAATACCTAATCTTTTATCTAAAAAATAAACTATTATTCTAGGGCTATAGTCTTATAACTATATATCTAGAGTTTATTATATATAAGTAATATATATATTATTAATTTTTATATTAAAGAAAATAACTTAAATAGAAATTAATTAATTATTTCTTAAGATTATATAACTAGTTAACTTATTTATAAATATAATTTAGCTAAAGCAAGTTTATTTATAATTTATATTTAGATTATATTATATTATTAGAAAAAATATACTTTATATTAAAATATAACTTATAAATAATTATATAATATTACTAGTAATAGTAATAATAATTAGAATCTAGTTAGATTATATAGCTTAACTTATACTAGGTTAAATCTAATAGTAATATATATTATAATAAGCTATATTATATTTTTATTTATTTATTTTTTAAATATCTTATAATATAAGACCTTATTAATAGCTATTAATAAGGCTCTAATATTTATTTTCTTAGTTTAGAAACTAATATAATTATAGGCTATATAAAATAAATTTACTAGTTCTTAGATAATAATTAATTTAGATTTCTAGAATAAAGTTCTTATAGGTTAGAATAATTTTTTATATTATAATAATAAACTATTTAAAGACTTTTAATTTAATAAACTAGATTCTTTTATATAAAATAGTATTTCTTATAAATTAGATAATACTTAGCTTACTAGTAATAGTTCTATTTCTAAATTCAATATAGAATATTTTATTAAATATTTTAAAAGTAGTTTTTTTTATTCTAATAATAATTGTAATATATAGTTTACTAAATATTATAAAATAGCTTTTTATATTAATTCGAGAATAATATAAAACTATTATATTTCTAATTTTATTAATAAGAAATATATTTATTATAAAAAGAAAGCTTTAATAACTAAGAAATATATAATAAAAGTAATTTCTAATCTTATTATTAAGGTCTATTTCTTCTTATATTTAATAAATAGCTAATATATAAGGGCTATTTCTAGAATAATAAATAATACTAGAAGCTTTATATATTTAATAATAAATATTAGATAAATAATTATATCTTATTTAATATACTAGATATTAATAGTATATATAATAAAATTATAAGTTTTAATAGTTTTAAAAATAATATATTATTTTATTTATATATTAACTTTCTAATATCTAGAAAAATATATAATAATAAGGCTTTAAAAAGCTATTAAATAGTTTTATTAGAGAATATCTCTAGTATTTTTTTATAATATTATTAAACTAAATAGTTTTTAATATTTATATAATTTTTCCTATAATATAACTTAGATATTATAGTTTTAGAAAACAAATAATGTATTTCTTAAATAAGTAATATAAGAAGCTTTATAATTTTATTATTTATTCTATAATTCTATTTATATTTTCTAGTAGTAATATTACTATTATTTTTAGAATATTTGAAATTATAATAAATGAGACTAAGATATTCTTATATAAAAGAAGCTAATAAAGTAAGGCTTTAGGCTCGAGGCTATAAATACTATATTATTATTTATAGCTATATGAATTTTATAAATTTATTAAGAAGTATTACTTTAATATTAATTTTTATAATTTAAGTTAGTTTAAAGGCTTTTAAATCTAGTTTTCTATAAAGAACTTTAAAGATATTTTTAGATATCTTATATATATATAGCTATATTACTAATAAAATAATAAATAAAACTAAGAAATTAATACCTGCTATATTTTTCTTTACTTATACTAGCTTAATTTTAGTTATTAATTATTATCCGAAATATTAAATAATAGTATTAAGAATATTTTTCTTTAGAAATTATATTATATTTTAAAATACTAGATTATATAAATAAAACCCTATAGCTATTTAATTTTTTTACTTTTTATAAGTTTATTTAGCTAGCTATTATAATATTATTTTTATAATACTTATTATTATTTTAGATAATATATTCTTTTATTAAGGCGCTTTCTTTTTATAGTTTTATTTAAGATATAAAAGTAAATAAGCTATTATAATAATTCCTATATTTAAAAATATAAATATTAATATTCTTATATATAAAACTACTTGTATTTAAGCTATTATAAGTACTAATAAAGCGCTTATTACTATAATATAAGGAACTATAACCTTAGTAATTTATAGATATACTAGGGTAAATAAGGCTATTAATTAGCTAATAAAGATTTAAGCTAAGCCCGAGAAAAGTACTAGTTATATAACAATATTTTTAATTAAGTTATAGCCAGAATTAAGAATCTAAAATATAGTAATAATATAAGTATTTTTAGGTATTTAGATAATAATAAAAGTAATAAGCCAGATACTTAGGCCCTAATAAGTATTTAGTAAGAAGATATTATAATATTATTTAAAAGAATAATATAAAATTTAATAATATAAGCTATATAGGAAGTTAGTAATAATCCTATTACTCTTATTTAATATCTAATAAATATTCCGAACATTTTTTTGCTGGTATGCGACCCGCATACCAATTCTCGCACGGGCCAGGTTATCATCGTATTGCTTTAATAAAAAGTATTTAAAATGCCATTCTCTCTCTTAGCTTTGGCAGCTCTTGCTCTTTGTTCTACGGCCTCAGCTCTACAAAAGTTTCAATTCACACAATTCTACCCAGAATATCGCCAAACCTTCACTAAAACAATTACCAACAATTGTTCTACCGTCTTTCAACAATATTTGAGCTCTCCTCCTGGGCTCCTTTTCAATCCTTCGTATACCCTGGTGTTCAATTGCCTTGTGGCTAATACCCAAGAACTCATCAAGTCTGATATGGCAAGTTCTAGCGTTGTCCTTGGTCTCATGCCGACTATTCTAAGCCTTCTTGGAACTACAACGCCCGAGTTAGCTTTATTGTCATCAAGGCGGCCACTCCTTGCATTTTTTCTCCCAATTGGATCGCCACCTGTTAATCCTATCCGTGCCTTTGATTATCATCAACCGATTGAAGCACTCAAGCACGGTAAAAGTCTGCTAGGGGGGAAATTCCAGTCGAAGTACAGCAGACTTATTGTGCTTCTTGAGTTAATCGCTACTGGTGCAGCATTTGCCAATATTTGGACAGTCACTCTGCAACTGGGGCAGTGGACAGTAATTAGTACTGGCTGTGGCTTTATCTGGAAGGAGATGATATGGGTAGGCTCGGCAGTCGTTATCCATTTATTTGGCACTCTTGCCTTTTCTTTCAGGACTAAAGTTGAGCATTCTGGTAGTACCACCAGCGGCACTCTTGTTCAGAGATTGATAGAGAGGCTGAAAAGATGGGCAAAGAGTGAATTTGTCTCTTGTAGGACTCAAACGAAGCATACCTTGATATGGCAGTCGGAGAACGTGTGGTTCTTGGGTCTCTCCTGGTGGGCGTCAATGGCAACTATTGCCCATATTGTCTATGGCACATCAACGTTCTCCTCAGCGACTTTCATAGGTATGTCACTCAAACTGATCTTTCCTTGAAAACAGGTAAGCTGACTCTAACAGGGCAGAATGATGCGGTCGCTGTCTTTGCCAGATATGCTACCTCGGTAGCTGTGTGTAGGATAGTGGTAGCGTATGAGCTTTCAGGATTGAGGGCTACAATACGTGTTGTTGAAGAAACTGAAAGCCCTTCCGAATAAGATTTATATGTATTGATTTCTTTCCAGAAGTGAAATACACAGGATGAAAATATTCTTTTCTGTTAACGTCTTTCTCACTATTTTATTCGTAAATTTTTTATAACATATGGACTAAAGACATAGATTAGAGAAATTAATATAGAGGGGATATAACTAAACAAATGAAGGGAGTAAAAGCTAATGCAATTTGCTAAGGAGGGAAGGATAGCTAAGCTATCCGAGCTGCGCTTTTATCTCGCTTTGCTTAGGGTCTCACGTAATAGCCGTCTCCGTAATCCCCACTATATAGATTAACGAGTATAAGTCTTAATTATTACCTAGCTCGTTCCTAACCTAACCTAACCTAACCTCAATCTAACCTAAACAGTAATCCCAACGGCACCTCTCCCCAGGTTCCCGAAACCCGCCTCTGATTGGTTCCCCGTCTGAATGACCCCTGGACCCCTGCCTTTAATCGCAAGGTTTGCGCCGCGCGACCCGACCTGGGCATGTGCCACGCCCAGACATGGCGTTGTAGGGAATACGCAAGTCTAACTTCTAACAGTTTACGCAGCCCCTTTAGAACTCACCTTATCACGGCGTTGCTATGGACTTCCTCCATCTAGACCGGGACTGGTCTGTCCTGATCTGCACCCGCTGTCAGTATGCCCTGGTCCCAGATGCAATTGCAGCCCATCTGAAAGATCGACACGAGGACGTAGTGACGCGCGCGGCTGTCAAAGACTGCGTCAATGCCTGGAAGTCCATAGCTCTGCAAGAACCAGGCCGGGTACAGCAGCTATATATACCGCCTTGCATACCAGAGGCAGCAGCAAGCGCTACACTACACATTGACTTATCCACAGTCAACAGCGCTCGAGAAGCTGGTAGCAGCGGCGCAGGCGCTGAGCGTCAACCCAGCGGCCGGCCCAGATTACAGACGCGGCGCTTCAGAGCAGCAGCTACAGGCAGAGCTCGACCAGGCTTGTCTATGCTTCTGCATTACGCTGCTCGACCATCGCCTTCTTGGCCCGATCTACGTTAGTGTCGTCGTCGGCTTTCTAGCTGTCGAGGGAATCGACGTGCAGAATAACTGCTTCTATAATGCTTCTTGCTATATAACACATCTATCTGCTCTTGTCAAAATGGCACAGCTGCTCGTGCTGCGGCAAGCAGTCGCTGCAAGGGAGGCCGGGGAGTGCAACCATCCGGCATAAGCGCTTGAGGAGATGCAGGAACGCTTTATGGTCTACGGGACACGCTCGCCTATAAACTGGATTCAAAAGCTACGTACGTATGGGAAGAGGATCACGGATACCACGACCGGGCTCGGGCATATCGTCTGGTCCGAGGATGCAGAGGAGCTTAGATATAAGGGACTTGAGCTAAGTATAATGGGCTTGAAAGCATTCGTCGTCCAACAGGTTAGGATAGCGGAGGCTTAGCTGCACAGCTTGCTCTATATTTGCCCGGAGGAGGAATCACGCATCGTTATTCCTGCATTCGATCTACGCAGCCTCAAGGATAACCCAGCCGTTAGTACGCCGGGCTAGAGCTTTCTTAGAGATCCGCGGAATACCGCCCTACAAGGCTATAAGCGCTGGTTACTAAATCGCATAACAGGCACTAACCGGCTGCGGAAGAACTTCTTTGTAGAGGTCGAGTCGGCGAGGTGGAGGCGGCTGGCTGCAAAGCAGTACCTTAAGCAGGTCAATGCTTTCCTAGAGCCCCTACTTCTAATTGCATATATCGTATCCGGCCAGCCAGTATATGGCAGCGAGCTTGTAAGCCTGTAGTACTATAATACTATAAACAGCTTACGACGGAATATCTTTCTTGAAAATGGCCTGGTTAGCTTTATGACCTTCTACCACAAAGGCTATAGCGTCGAGGGCTGTACGAAGATTATCCACCGTTATCTCCCAGAGGATATAAGCAGGCTCGTCGTCTACTACCTATAGCTTGTCCTCCCGTTCACTAACCATGTCACGGCCTGGACAAGCTGTGGAAGTGGAATGTGGTGTGTTTGGTGTAAATATATGTATGAATGATGGTGCCCTAAGGGCGGTAAAGAAGCTATATATACGCCTGTACGCAGCACGTGACAAACCAGCTGCGGCTGTTAGCCCTCGACCAACCGGCGGTAGCTGTGTCCTCGCCGTTCCTCTGGGCGCAGCCGTGCGGGGACGCGGGCCAGTGCCAGCATAGCCTGTGGCCTAGCAGCCGGCTGAGCTACATGCTCAAGCAGGACTCCCAGACGCACCTGCACACTCAAGCCAACATCCAGATGTGGCGTCATGCCGCCATTGCCATCTCGCGGCAGCACCTGAGGCAGGCCAAGTTCCGGAAGAACTTTGATGTTGGGGCCGGGCCTGCCACGCAGCCGATCTGGCGGCCTCGGTCTATGCTCGCGGGATTGAGGAGGCACCTGGGCATACCGAGCAAGCGCGGGCTGAGTACCGGCAGATTAGCCGCGAGTGGCATGCGTGGCTTGGTCTTGCGCTGTTCCCGGACAACCCCCTTCCCGAGTTTGGGAGGGGGTTCAATGTGGTTAGAGCGAAACCGGCTACGACGTGGATGGACACCCCGGCTGGCCACACAACTGATACGGCTGAACGGATCTATGCTCGTATTGGTAGCTCCGGGTTGTCTTCTAAGCGAAAGGCGGTATCCGATATTTCCGGAAACCAGCCAGGGAAAAAGGCCAAGTTTAGAGTAGAAGACAGAGCTGATAAAGCGGACGGCGTTATTAGAGGGTTCTTGAAACTAGAGGACCAAGAGAGCAGGATGTGTAGGAGTAGAAAAGCCAAATTAGGCTGATTGTTATGTACGAGTACAGACAGAAAAGAATAAAATTAGTTTGAGTGTATATAAGGCTATAAACAAAGGCAAGTTTAGAAGTTCAATTTGGCACTAACTACGCGTGTACCTCTTTTACGCTATAAGATTAAAAGTGTTACAGCTCTAGAGACTGGAACCATGTCTCACGTGACTACAAGCGAGGTTAGCATATGTTGAACTAGCTAAGTAATAAAGCTAGGGTCACGTGCTTGCAATGTAAACCAAGTAAACGATACTGAATTGACTGCTGTTCTACAGTGGTAAGTAGCCCGTATATATAGCCCTGAACCCCCTAAGTCACATGTACTAAATCCCTATGCCAGCTGAACCGATTACAGCTATACAGGGTATTCCAGCCGTACATGGTATTCCAGCCGTACAGGGTATTCCAGCCGTACAGGGTATTCCAGCCGTACAGGGTATTCCAGCCGTACAGGGTATTCCAGCTATACAGGGTATTCTAGCTATACAGGGTATTCCAGCTATACAGGGTATTCCAGCTGGACAGGGTATTCCAGCTGGACAGGGTATTAAGCTAGTGCACAGCCCCATGGCGTTCGGTTCCAGGGCTTACTAAGCCTATTAGGGGCCTCAGGCCCCTAATTTCAACAGCATAAAACCCCTCTTCTTGCCTTAACCTGAGCCTTCTCTCCTTAGCTTTGTATTCTAAGTTACAAATCGACATTACGCTTCTCTCCTGAAGCCTCTGTTCTCGTGCTGTCACAGTAATAATTATCTAAAAGATACAGTAACATGAATGGCGAAAGAATTAATCCATAAACAGGGAGGTGAGGAATCCTTTTTTATTGGCTATGTACAGAATATTCAGCGAGGGTGATCAAAGCTGTCGATGGACTTTTTTCCCCGCCCGACTAGAGAGGGAGAGTGGCAGTTCCCGTTAATGCCCTGTCTAAGCCTCATTCACTTCTCCCGGCCAACCAAAACCACGCACGTGTATTACTTGAAAGGCGCTGCCCAACTATTCGAAGACTGATTATTCAAGTAAGCCAGTAAAAGAATCCCCTCATGTAAGCCGCCACTAAAGGGGAAAGGTCGCAACCAATACTCAGATAAGGCGCCTGCGGGCCGGCTCACTGCCCTCCCTGAGGCGCAGATGAGAAAGGATATGGCGGCACGGGCAGTTACAATCAGCCATCACATTGCCAAATAAGGCGGCTGGTCAGCTGGAGACTTGACGTGGCGTAAGAGGGGCCTTTGTACCCGAGAGGGAGCGGCGCTTGGGCCCGTGCGCGCGCCTTGCCCAATGCGGGCTTGCCGTCTACTCTTTTACTATTTATATTAATTAATTTATTAAAATAAATCGAATCGAATATAAAAAGTAAAAAAAAAGAATAAAAGAAATAATAATAATAAATATAATTTTTCATTATTATTTAAACCTTAAAATCAATAATTATAATATTATAAAATAAGGTATAATAATAAATCTAAGGGTCTATAAATACTTAAAAAATCCTAATATTATTAATATATATCTTTAGTCTTTTTTATAAATATTAATATTAGAATTTTAATCGATTTATATAGTAGCTATACTAAAATACGTTTTCGTTTGGAGACGACTCCTCACTACGTGCCACTATAGGCCGCGCGGTTGGCCCAGGCGCGGCTGACTCAGCGCTTTCAAGTCAGAGTGCATTTAGTCAAAGTGCACTCTGCCGCGCCCGCCTTTAAAGACCTCCGGAACGACTCCGAGCACGTAATGATCATGGCAACCCAATAATTTTGTGCCCTTCTTTGCATGTGTCAGATTTTTGTGATTGTGATTGTGAATGTGGTGCAGCTTAAACTACCCGCGGTAATTGAATGAGTAGTTCTCTTGAGCAAACATAGTGTGGAGTGCAGCGTTATCCAAGTAATGTTCCGCTTCCTATCTTCACACCCTATTAGCGTTAGCCATCGAGAACGGCAGTCGTCTTCTGGGGCAGGTTCTCAATTGGTATTGCACTCTGCCGGGAATGTATTTTGTAGCCTATAGTTCATGGCTAGCACGACTTACTTTTCGAGTCTCTTGAAACTCACGTAGGTTTATACATTGGGGAATGGGGGAGTATAGTCATTATAGTGCCAGAAGGTTAGTTAGATTGTAAGGTAAGGAGCAAGTCTTTATAGACGCAGATCATCTGCTTAATTACTGCTATATTTATGCTCTAGGCAGCAACCCTTGTCTGGCGTCTCTCTATTTAGCAACTATTAACAACTCGCACAAACTGTTGACCTGAACCTCGCCTATAAGCAAGAAACAAGTCTGCAGAGTGAGAGCGTCCGTTATAGAGCCCGACACTTCGAAGAAGAAAGAGCAATAATGAAAGAGAAAATGGCAGCACTCCAGGCCAACTCTAAACGGTCTTAACTCCTGGGTCTATGCAACGGAGGCTACATCAAGAAAATTTGCTCCCTATGGTTTGCCGGTGACTACATACCAGAGCAGTATCAATCCACCCCAATCTGCTGATGCTAGTAGCCTTGAGTCGGGGGAGAAGGTTACAAACCGGAGATCTCTATAAGAGTGGTTTAGCTGCTGCTGTAGCATGCCAGTAGCTGTGTCCCAGAGCTCTATTGTGCCGTCGGTTGGTGCGAAAACTAGCAGCCTCGAGTTAGGTGAGAAAGCTACTAATCTGCCTTCTAGGGCGCGCCTTGGATTGGAAACGCTATTAGGTGACGTGAGCGTTTGTCGTAAGGTGCCAGTAGCCATATCCCAGAGCTGTGCTACCAACGCTCTCGGGGCAGACAGATTTCAAAGACTGTCTGCCCCGTAATATTAACGTAATATAAGGCGGTATAGGGAGGTATAAGCTTACCCTGTATACTGTAACCTTTTCTACCTAGCTATCGCTTAATCAAGTATAGAATCCATGGTATTATTAAAGTATATTAGCCCCATATATAATCTGACTTTATAGGCTCCTATTTCAGGAGTATATCTATATCTGGTAGTAATAATAAGCTAGTAATATCGGGAGAATTATTATAATTATAAGCTATTTGCTCCCACTTATTATTATTAATTGAATTAGACTATTACTAGTATTATTATATACTAATTCTCTATATTTTCCGCTTTATAGTAATGCTTTACTACTAATAATACTAATATAATTAATACCGGACTTTGTTATAAGATTAAAACTATAATTAAGGCTATTCCCGAAGCCTATTAAATTGTCCCTAAAGCTAGTTTTATTATTTTTAATTCAAATTCCGTATTTATATATTTTTAGAACTAGGCCTTTATTTAAGAATATATATTTATTATTTTATTATTAACTAATATTCGGGCTCGATTTCTTTATATTTACTATTTTAAAAGAATTTATAATTTTAGAAAGCTTAGGAAAAATAAATACTAATAGGTCTAAATAAAAATATATTAATAGGGTTATAAAATAAGCTATTATATAAGTAAATAGAAAAGAAAAAGAAAAAATTAAATATTTAGAATTTTATAATATATAATTTATATCTATTTACTTATTTTAGATTTATTTTAGCTAGCTTTATATATATTTTATTATTCTAGTTATTTTAAGGCTATTCGAATTATAATAGTTTATAAAGATATAATTAGATATATAATATTAATAAAGATTTTATAAAAATAAGACTTAGAGCTTAATATAAAAACGTTTTATAATTTTTATTATAAAAAGCAAACTATTAATATTACTAATTAGAAATAAACTCGTTTAATTTTTACTATTTTCTAAAATAAAGGTTTTTATATTATTATTAATAATTTATATATCTATAGCCCTAATAGCTTAAAGCAGAATTAAATTATTTAGGCTATTATTTAAATAAATATAAAATAAATTTATTAAGGCTATTATTTTATTTTTTAATATATTAATTAATTAGATATAATTTTTAGTATAAATAATAAAAGAATACTTTTAATAATATAATTAGAATTAATAATACTAGTTTAATATTTATTAATATATATTTCTGTTATATTAATAAGTTAGCTCGATTTTTCTATTTTTATAAATAAGTATAAATAATCTATTTCTTTTATAATTATTTTAAATCTATTATTTAATATAGTAATTTTACTATAGGCTTTACTATTATAATAATTAAATTAGCTATATTACAAGCTATTATAACTTATAAAGCTCTATAAAAAGAGAAAAAGAAAAACGTTTTTAATAATAAATTAGATAATTTATTTATAAAGCTATTTTTAAATCCTTTATTTCTTGTTTTTATTAAAGATTCTAGAATTAGTAATATTAATTATCTCGGCTAATTCGAGCCTTCTATAACTATTTATAATATAAAAATAATTCTATAGTATTATAAATAGTATACTATTATTACTATTAAAAAGAAGCTAATTTAAAAAAGATATAAGAATATAGTTTATAATAAAATTATAAATTTAATCTAAAAATAAATAAAAAATAATTCTATTAATAAGCTAAATTCGTTATATATTATAATTTTAGTAGTTTTTAAATCTTCTAAATAGTTATATTTATTCAATTATTATTAATTTAAAAAGCCCTTTTTTTATTATATTTATATTTTTTAATATTTAATTTTTAGCTATTATAAATTAATATAAATAAAAAAGGCTTATAATATTATTTCTATTAAATTAAATAAGAACTAGCTTATTAGTTATATAATTGAAATTATTTATAAGTAAGCTAAGGTACTTTTATAAAACTATAATAATAAAATTAATAAGAAATATTTCTTTATATTATAACTAGTTAATTATAAGTTTTTTAAGCTATATTTCTTTAAAATTATATATTTTGCCCTAAAAAAGGCTATAGTAAAATTCATATAAACTAAATTATTTCTCGATTTATTAGAAAAAAAGTAGTATAATTATTTCTTTAATATAAAATATAAGTACTAAAAAAACTATTAATTACTTTTATAATTCAATATTTTATATCTTTTAAATAATTCTTACTTTTAATTTTCTTTAATTTCTACTAGCTTTATAATAGCCCCGAAATTCTTTATAAATTATAGGAAATATAATTAAAGCTTTAGAAAATAGATATACTAATAATTAATTTAGTAATAATCTCTATAACTAAGAAATATGAATCTCTTTTATTTAAAAATACTAAATATTTTACTCTTATATTTAAGAAATTAAATAAAGGCTTATTATATAATAAGATACTTTATTTAAATTAAAAGAAGCTATACTAGCTCGTTTTTCAGATATTTTAATTTCCTCGAAACTAATATTTATACTAGGCCATAAAAAAAATACTTCCTAGTATAAAGCTTGCTCTTATAAAAAAGGCTAATAAAGCTTAATAATACTAGAAAAAGAAAAGAAGAAAAAGCTATAAAAGATAACTAAATTACTAATAAATAAAGATATTATAAAGCAGTTAAATATATAATAGAAATTAATATTAGAATATTTAGAATACTTATAAAATAAGAAAAATAAAAAATAATAAAAATAAAAATAACTTTAATAATATAATAATTAATTCTACTATTATTAAAAGCTTAACTTTAATACTCTTATAATAAATACTATTACTAGTAAAGGTAATACTAGCTTAGAAATTATTTAGAAATTAAAAAAGTATATTAAGTTTATTTATTTTAGATATAGGTACCTCTTTTATTTCGAATTATAATTCTAATTATATTCCAGAAATATAATATCCGGATATTAGCTTATTTATTTCCAATAATAATTTTTACTTTATTTATAAGAATAATATTAATACTAACTAATTAGTTCGGTTATTTTCTTTTTTCTTATTATTTTATAATGAATTTATCTTTTAAACTATAGCTATATAAGCTCTAGAATTTAAAATATCTTTCGAATTCCTTTAATTAAAAATACTTTTACTAAATTAACCAGTTTATTTAAAAAAGCTTATATTAAAGGCTAAATTATAGGAGTATTATAAGATAAAAATAAAAAAAGTAAAGAAATAAAAGCAAAAAAGGAAACCAAAGATATTAAAGACTATTTAATTAATAAATCTTCTAATTAGGAGTCCGTAAAAGTAAATAAATATAATTTTATTTTGATTCAAGTATTAATTATATACTAATTATAGGCGCTCGATTATTTTTTATCTTTCTATTTATATTAATATCCTATAAATAAACTATATATAAAATAGGATAAAGGCTAAATAAAAAGAATAGTAAATTATATATTTCCTGTTTCTTAGTATATAATCTAGTTTTATATTAATTATAATATATGTTTTTATATTAGTATAGTATATGTTTTTATATTAGTATAGTATATGTTTTTATAGTAGTATAGTATATGTTTTTATAGTAGTATAGTATTTGTAAAGTAACTTATAGGAAAGTTAATATATATAGGCTTATCTTGAGATTACGAGGCTTACTATACTAATTAAGATAGCGAGCAGTGCAGAGCGGCAGAATCGAACTATTCGATGATTATACGGGGAAGACAGTCTTTCGGATCTGTCTGCCCCGAGAGCGTTGGGCTGTGCTATCCCGCCACTTAATGTTGTCGCTAGTAGCCTCGAGTCAGGCGAGCAGGCTATCGACCTGGGCGTATTACTGAGCTCGAACTTCTGCTGTACCTTGCTTGTAGTCGTGTCCCAGAGTAACATTTGGTTGTGCGAATCTGATGCTAGTATATTTAAGTTAGGCAAGAAGGCTATCAAGTCGTAATAGCTATTATTCCTAAGCTTCGGCTTCAGTGCACCAGTGGCAGTGTCCCAGAGCCGTACAACGTCGCAGAGCCGTACAACGTCGGGTGAAGATGACGCTATCCGCCTCGAGTCGGACGAGAAAGCTACTAGGAACATATTATTACCGACGTCGTGCTCCTCGAGCGTCTGTTGCAGCACACCCGTGGCCACGTCCCAAAGTTGTATCGCGGACCCCTCCTCACCGTGCCCCCGTAACATGATGCTGATGCTAGCAAGCTCGAGTCAAAGCCGAAGGCCACTGAGTTAATTCTTTTATAATGATAATCAAGCGTCTGCTGTAATATAGTAGCCGTGACGTCCCAAAGCTACATCGTCCCTTTCCCCGTTCCTGTCGCAAGCAGCCTCGAGTCAGACGAGATTCGAGAATGCCATTGACTTGATGCGGGGGAGGGGGCGGGGGCCAAACATATTTTCCTTCCACCACCTGAAGTTGGGCGAGAAACGGTTTGAACAGATACTATTGCCATGCTCCTCGAACGTCTGCTGCCGCGCGCTGGATGGCTTAGCATAAATCGAGACAGCCTCCGAGATTTCATCGAGTCGGAATTTCCATTCGCGGGTCAGTCTTCGGAATGCCTTCTCCTTTTCCTCGCCATAGATAACTGGTATTGAGATGTCGAAGATGCCCAGCATGGAATAAGCAAGGTCTTCTTCGCGCTTGGTATTCCGATTTCGTGCCCACAGCACCCGCTCGTCGAAGCTGAAATCTGAAAGAGGTCTTCTTCCTCGAAGAGCGAGAACAGGAATCCCTGTTATCTGGAAAAGCTGTTCCTCTAATAATTGCTTGTCACCGAGTCGATTGCCATTCGAGGAGAAGAACTCTACTACTGGTGGTGCGAGAAGCTCTTGGAGCGTCCAACCACGGGTAAACCATCGACTGTTCCTAAAAGCTGCCTCCCATGGCTTTGAAGATGGATCTGGTTGTTCTTTTGTCCACACATCTGCCAGATACACATAACATATTGCCGCCTCGCGATACCAGCGAAACATGGAGTTGATTGCTTCCGTGAGCTCACTGTCCCTCGATTTGTTGATATAACAAGTGTCTACCCAGAAGTATTGGAGGCCATCACGAGCGGCTTGCCAGTCGCCTGGGTGTTCTATCGCAAAGCTAGAAGATGTGGGTGCAGCTGCTCAGCTCTCGCGCGCAAGCCTTTGCTATAACCGAGTGGGATACTAAAGTATGCAGGATTTAATAGACAATAACAGTCTAGCAGAGCCAGCTCATCCAATTTTCTTTCAGGTTGCCAATTAGCGCTTGCGGTTGCAGGAAGTGTGGTTACACAACACGTGCTGACTGTAACCGCTAACCGCTACGAGTTTCCACTGCCTTAAAACCTGAGCCATAGCCTGAAAGTCACTAATTCTCCCTAAGTCAGAGTGAATTACATTAGGAGATTGCTCAAATTATATAAAGATTAAAGATACACTTTAAGTGCGAACAGGAGAGTTGCCTTGATAATGACTAGACTTATTGCTGAGTATCGAACATTCTAATTAAGGGCTTACTTCCCTGCTTCTCCCAGATGGCCAGGGAGATGGATAGAGTCAGGAGTTTGGGGCAGAAGCTTTAATTGTTAGCGTGCGTAGCGCGGTGACAACTGGACAGCTGTTATTAGCTAGGCGCTCTCGTTTAAGGGGCTCTATCTAAATTGTATCCGTCGCCTTGTAAAAGAGAGTTGAGGGACAAGAACGAGGCAATACGGCCTGAAGACGAGAAGAAGAGGGGAGAGAGGCGTGGTTATATTCCTAATCTTTCTTTGAATATCTTGTGATATATGCTTCCGTCGCAAAATAAAAGTGCCATTTATTCCACAAGTTATCGATTAGTTTATTTGGGAAAGGTAAGTAGTAGCAGCGAGGGGTTCAACTAGCATAAGGACAATAGATGAGGAACCTGTTATCGATGGTAATTATACTTGATTGAGTGATTTGGTATGATTTTTAAATGATGGAAGTGGTCGGGGTTCAGCGAGAGCATAGGCAGAGGCATAATAGTGGAGGGGGTGCTCCTGTTTTTGAGGCAGGAATCTGTGATTGAGAAGTCTTTGAGGCTAATTGAGACTATTGAATTAGTACTTAGGAGGAATAAAGTATGAGACGTTTATTAATGTGGATTTTTGAGTTGAGAAGTGGCAGAGAGTGGGAAGTCACTTAATAGTTGGAGGAATGGTCTGTAGCCGCTTAAGAACCAGTTAGAAAATATTTAGCAAACATTTAAGAAGGGAAATTTGGAGCCCCTTAAAAATCAGACATAGTGTGTTTGTTAAAGAGGAAATATTTCTTCTTCGAGAATTGTCTTATTATAGACCCGATTTCTGCCTGTTATACTCGATAAAGTGCTTCCCTCTAAGCCTGACTTTTCCGTCTGCTAAGTTTGATGTTCCTGCACAAGCGCCAAAAAGAGCGCAGGGCGTATGATTACCTCGGTAATTAGAAGAGGAGGCGCTCTCTTGGCCTAAATTGGTGGGAAAAGGAGGTGAGTAGAATGGGCGCTGGACTATCTACCTCCGTTCTTCGCACGTCTTCCGCTTTAACTTCGTACTCCTTTTATCCGGCCAACCTCTATAATCTTTGGCTTCGACTGTTTGAAAGTCTACCTGGGACAATCCAAAAGCTATCAAAGTCTTGTATTGCACGAATCGCCTCTGAAACCCAGAAAGAAACACACTCTTCCACCGGAACATCTATCAACAACTTCTCCAGCACGTCGGCCACAGCCTCTATCATGGATAGTCAGCTCTACATCGGGACTCTCTGCGGCATCAACAAGAAGATCCCTGGGCTCGGCGCACTTGTTATCCACTCCTCGCTCTTTGTAGCAAACCAGAGCGTCCGCCACCAA